AAAAAAAAAAAAAAAAAATCCACCAAAAAATAAATAAAAAATTATTTCACAAGTATTTTTCGTTCAGCACTTTAAAAAAAATAAAAAGACTGAAAGACAAACCAAAACAAATTTGCAATTCACTTTGAAATAGTTATTGAAAATAATAGTTGTCAGTTACGTCAAGAAAAAATGTTAAAATTAAGAGGCAAACGTATTGAATGTAAGAGGAGGTGAAACTTTTCAGCAAACTAAACTGATCGAACCAAAAGGCGCAAATGTCAGCTGCTTATACAAAACTTTCCCCCTCTCCCCCTCTTCTGCCACAATGTCCATTGCGCTCTCTTTGTATCATCATCCTGAACATCATCCGAAAGAACTTGTGAACTTAGCATCAACTACTTCGAAAACAATCCTAATACTATTTGCACGTTCCTTATTATCCAAATTAGAACATCTCGACTGTTCACCCTTCTACAAAGTGTCAGACTTTCAATTTTTCAACTTTTCAAAAATAGTTGCTACGCTTTTCAAATATTAACTTTACATAACTTGAATACGTATTCAACAACAAAACCGAAAAATAAGAAACAAGTTTCGTTAAACGAACAAAGTATAAAACAATTTTTCAAATATTTTATAAAACTTTAATTAGCAAAAATCTCTACGATATCAACGTTTATATCAGCTACCTGATCTCCTGACAATGAACTAGACCAACTCTGTTACTAATTTTAAAAAAATTTTAGCCTAAAAATCAGTGACAGATACTTCCGTTCGTCAACAGCTCACAACTGGAAAGAGTTTAGGCTTTTATGGCAAATATTGAGTTAGAGCTTTGCCTGATCAAGAGAAAAAAGTATTTCCAAATGATGATAATTTTTAAAGGCTGCAATAATATTCCCTTTCGTACTTCAAAAATTTTAGACAGCTAGTACCAATACAACTGGTTAAGTATACAAGATGGTATACTTCCACAACTGCTCAAGTTGAAGAAAGATGATAAAATTTGTCGCTTTAGAAGGATAAAGAGAACTAAGGCACTAATTCCCCGTATAAGCAAGTGTGTGACATAAAATTGTAACGATGAACCAAAGTTGAACAGCAGCAACTGTCTTCGAAAGTTCATTAACAGTAAAAAACCTGGAAATTTTTACAGGGTAAACCACTTTAAGATCCTATAAAATTTGAAAAGAATTGAAATAGCCAAGGCTTCTAAACAATGCCTAGCACTGAGACGTTTAGAGACGGTAATCGAAATTACCAAACAGTAATGAAACAATAAAAACTGAATTGTTCCTGGATAGCCTGAATAGCCAATTAGCAACTGACTATAACTGCCTTGATAAAAAGATAACAGCCTAGAAAGAACAGACCCCTTCCGACACTGAACTAATATTTCCCACCAGTTAAATTTGACCGAAACAACGTGATATTGAAAATATGGACAGACTTAAGAGTCTATAGGCGTAAAATAGTGAGGGGTAGGTCAATAATAATGGTGGGATGTGCAGTCTGCACCGACCAAAGATCCCACACCAATTCCCTTCGTTCCTGGCATTGCTTTCTGCGGTCCACACAGATCTGTTTTTCCTCTATTACTTTTTTTTTTTCGATATTTTGAATCTTTTCTGCATTTTAAGCCGCATCCTTTTCCACAACGAAATAAGTTTCTAGTAAACTCCCGCTCTACCTTTTTTCTTCCTCAACCCTTTATTAACAATCACTTTAGAAAGCATCGACACAATTATTCTTTTTAGCTTTCAATATCACAGAATTTTTGATATGTAAAAAACGTTTTTTTCACTCGCCCGTTAAACATCACTTTCCTTTCGCAAACTAAGTTACTATAAAATCAGTCTACTGAAGCATTAAATTTATTTTAAATAATTCTACTAAATTTCTTCAACCATCTCACTCCGACTAAAAACAATAACAACAAAACCAAAAAATTTCTTTACTATAAAACAAGTCCTATAGCTGAAAAAAAACAATTTTAATTTGTTTTCAACAAAAAATAGCGCTGGTTTACTTTCCGCAAACAATAAGTTTCTGTTTAGGCAGTTTTTAGATGATTACATAGTAAGCTACCAAAAACGATGAATTAGAGGAACCTTAGTGTTACTGCGCTTTTCTTAACGACTTTTTAAAGCCGTTAATTCCATCTCAGAGCAAATAAAAAGCCATTGAAAGAAACTCAATTAATGAAAAATCAAAAGATATCCTTAGAAATCCAACCAATTTCAAATATTTTATCCCTAAAAAAACACTGCTAGCAAACCAATAAACAGAACTACAAAACTGTTGACACAGAAACGTTGAAGAATTACAAAAAATCGGAAAAAAATACCAAACCTTTCCACCCATATGAAACGGTAAGTTTTCTGGTGAGACGTATTTAGTAACTGTATCTCGGGTAATTCGACGAAGACGACAATGCGCTCGTATATCAATCCATGATAACACTAATTTACATAAAGCATCAAATATTGGAGGACATTCATAAACTAACAGCCCACCCATACAGCCAGGAAAGTAATACTTGCACGCATGGAGGGCAAATTTCACAGCTTCTACTTCCTGCAACACCAGCTTCGGTTCCAATTAAAACAGATCTAAAGGTCTTTTAAAGATCTTGGCCAAGGAAATACAATTACGAAAGTAGAAATATTAAGTGCACGTTACTACTCAAAGTCCAACATCAAAATGCCATTTTGCTTTATTAAATAAGTACTACAAAAGATATTACCAGGTTTTGTAAGCCGCTACCTGACATGTCAAACAAAAACTGCAGTGGCGCACCACATGTTTCTGTTGCATTTCTTTCCAACCAGTATATTAGCAGTTTAGTGAAATTTCGCTCAGTCGCCTCAATTTGTTTCAAGTTGATCCATACTAGAAAAATAGCTGTTTGGTAGAGGAATGCGGAAAAATTTGAATCCAAAAAAATAAAAATTAATTAGACTGCAAGTGAATTAAAATAAGAATCCAATAACTGTTTCCGACGACAAGAAAAAAATTTGTGTTAAGACAAAAGGTGTTATTTTTCATTTGTTGTCTCATTTTTTTAAGTCATTTTATTTTTGTAATTATTTGTTTAAAATTAGTTCTTTTCTCCAAATTTCAATGATCAGTTCATCACACAAAATTGGAAAATTTTCTTTTATCAAAACTAGTAAATCAAATTCTCACGTATTCGCCTGCCTTGAAGATCTTCACCGTGTAAATACATCGCCTTTTTCATGAACAACGACCTTAGTTCCAGCAAACTGATATCTTAAAAAACGAAACCGATCGTATTTAATGCACTTAATCAGACGATTTTGAAGGATGAACCATAAAAAATGCTTCTCACTTTAATTTATATAGTAATGATCAGTGTGTTTTCACAATCTTTCCAGTAAGTTCTTCACTCTATCTAATCAGCTAAAAAGTTTTAAATGAAAAATCCTAAGTTCCCAAAAAGAAAAGATCAAAAGCAAAACTAAACAAACCCTCTCTTCGCTACCACCAAAAAATGCACCTCAGTTTGTCATTTTCACAGTACTTTTTACAAAGGCGTCTGCGGTGCGGCCGTAGCCCAAACTCCTCACTTGTATTTCAAAAGTTGTGACAACTAGCGCAACTAATCAACTTATTCAAAAGAAACCAGATCTAACAACCTGACGAATAAACAAAGTTAAAGACAGTCTGGAAAACTGATAAAGTCTTTGAACAGTTCCTAGTAATTTCCAATCTGAGCAAATTGTTCTCTAAAAAATATTTACTTAAAACCCTAAAGCTAGCTCAAAACTGCTCATGTTTCCAATAACCATAAAACGTTAAATTCCTATGACATGTTTACAAGGTTAAGGGGTGGAACTCGTGATTCTCATAGAAGCAGCCCTAATCAACACAGTTATAAAGAAATTTTACAGAAAGCTGCTAAACTACTAGCAAGTCGGACCCCAACCTCTTACTCCTTTTGAGTGTGCTAGCTTCTTTGTTCATAATGTGCTAAAACATTGAAATTTTCCCATATACGAAGTTTTAAACAAGCTTCTGCGGCGAAATATTTAATTCTGGAAACGCAATTTTTCCTTAAATGCTAAGTCGATGAAATTCTTTGAAGCAATTCTTTTTCAATACTTCAGATTCAGCTAGAAGTCTATCGTCGGCAGATTCACTTGGCTAACAAATTTTCTTCGTGCAATATGACCAGAAATTTCATTCCCTGACCCTGATTTCCACCTCCTACAATTTTTTCGATCGCTCAATCCACCCGTCCTCGCTATGTTCCCCAATACTTATTGTAAGTTTTCTGCTTCAATTTACTGATGGTATAGTAGAGTAACCTCTTGACAACAATTTTTTAACTTCAAACTCGAATATTCTTATAGCAGTTGCTAGCAATATCTACAGTCGCAGACCTTTGTTTTATTTATTTGATTAAGGAAAACATCCTGATTCTAGGTAAACTACTCCGCTTTACTTTAACATGAAAAACAACTTTAGACATTTTAGTCA